TATTGAAGAATGATCATTAAAAGTAGCTAATCTGGCGGAGATGGCTAAAATTTCTGCATATTCGAAGGACCGTTCGAATGAAAGATATGTACTGGAATGGAGAAGATGGATTGACTATACACAAAACAAATACGGGACTGAAAAGTTGCAAATAGCTTATGAATGAAATATTTAGATCAGCGGTCCTCAACCTGTGGGTCGGGACCCCTTTGGGGGTCGAACGACCCTTTCACAGGGGTCGCCTAAGACCATTGGAAAACACATATTTTCAATGGTTTTAGGAATAATTTTATGGTTGGGGGTCACCACAACATGAGGAACTGTATTAAAGGGTCGTGGCATTAGGAAGGTTGAGACCCACTGATTTAGATGATTTTTTTTTTTCTACTTTGATATTTTAGTACCTATGGCGGAGTTAAAGAGTAAGGGGAAGTTAAGAGTTTATAGTTAGTTTGCTTATGTTAGATTATGTTTGTTAAATGCAATACCCTGTATTTTGCTCTGGGAAGTCGGGAGAGGGGGAGGGAGAGGGGAAGGGGTGGGGGAAGGGGGGCAATTTGTTTGTAAAACATTTTAAAACTTTTCAATAAAAAAAAGAAAAAAAGAAAAAATGCAAGTAGAAAAATAGGGACCGCCTTTGGCGGGAAGGGAACAGCGTTCCGTGCGCCTTTGGCATTGAGTCATGCCGGCCACATGACCACGGAGACGTCTTCGGACAGCGCTGGCTCTTCGGCTTTGAAACAGAGATGAGCACCGCCCCCTAGAGTCAGGAACGACCAGCATATACGTGCAAGGGGAACCTTTACCTTTAAACACACACATACCCCTGAGATCATTCCCTGCAGCTCCCTCCTTGCCTTTCTGCATTTCTCTGCCTGATACACAACAGATTTTTTTTGCCACCAATGCTGTTGCAGGAGTAGCAACAGAAAGCAGCAGCGTGTCTGCTTCTCACCCCTTGCCAATTCTTGGATGCACGACAAACTCAAGCCAACTTTCCCAGATGCGTCCTGAAGGAGCGTTCCAAGCAGAAGCAGAAGCGGAAAGTTGGTGCTGTGGGGTGCGAGGGGAAGGGGGACGACCTCCCAGCTGGCTTGCGAATCCGGGAGGGGCTAACACTCTGCCTGACACTCCCAGGACTGGCTGAGTGTCAGGACCTCACAGAGATTTTGGAGAAGCTGGGATGGGCAGCTGCTGAACGGATTGACCTTTCCCTCCCAAAGCTAGCCAGCAAACACAAAGCAAAACATCCCTTAAAGTAGGAGCGTCCAACCTTGGCAACTTTAAATACCTGTGGGTTTAAAACACAAGGATATGGTTTGAGCCTAACAAGTTGTCCAGGCAATATATGTGTACCGTAACTTTAATGTGAATATGTACTGGGTGACTTTAAAGTTTTTCTTGCTGATTCATTGCAATGCTGAGTCATGCTGTAATTTTTTTTTTTTTAATTTGATTTATATGCCGCCCTTCTCCGGAGACTCAGGGCGGCTTACAATGCGCTAAGCAATAGCCTTCATACTTTTGTATATATTTATACAAAGTCAGTTTATTGCCCCCACAAACTGGGTCCTCATTTCACCTACCTTAGAAAGGATGGAAGGCTGAGTCAACCTTGAGCCTTGGAGAGATTCGAACCAGCAGTAAATTGCAGGCAGCTGTGTTAATAACAGGGTGCACTAAACCACTGTACTATCAAGGCTCTTGATTAGGTAATCACTGGTTGTGAGGGTATTTAAGCAAGGTATTGTAACGTGTTCCGTTGCTGCTATGATATGCTGCCATTGTGTATGAAGCTGATGTGATATGCTACCAGAGTATGATATGCTGCCATTGTGTGTGGAGTTGCAACCATTGCGCTGTCATCGTTGGATGGATCTGCTACCATCGTGGTTTGTGAACCAGAGTGAGTTTGTTATTCTAACCAACTACTGTTTGTGTGGTAAGAAGAGTTTTTGTATCACTGGACTGATTTAACTGGCAAAGACTTGGAATTTGTTTAAAGACTATGAGACTGTTTTTTCTACTATAAAGTAAGCTTTTGATAAACCAGTTTGCATATCTCTTATTCATTGCTCTCAGCAACGTTTCCTTGTGCATTTACTGGTTGGTAACACAACACCAATATCCTTAACACTCTCATGCTGGCTGGGGGAATTCTGGGAGCTGAAGTCCACAGGTCTTCGAAGTTGCCAAGGTTGTGGACACCCCTGCCCTAAAGAATCTGCTCCCCGCAAAGGGTTCAATCAACCTCCAACTAACTTTCCAGGGGTGAAATCCAAATTTTTTCCCCCTACTGGTTCTTTGGGCGTCGCTTGGTGGGAGTGGCAGGGGAAGGATATTGCAAAATCTCCATTCCCACCGCACTCCAGGGGAAGGTTGCTGCAAAATCCCCATTCCCTCCCCACTCCTGGGGGAAGGATATTGCAAAAACTCCATTTCCACCCCACTCCAAGGGAAGGTTACTGCAAAATCCCCATTCCCACCCCACTCCAGGGGAAGGTTGCTGCAAAATCCCCATTCCCTCCCCACTCCTGGGGGGAAGGATATTGCAAAAACTCCAAGAGCCTTGGTGGCGCAGCAGACTAAAGTACTGTTAAGTAACACCAGCTGCCTGCAATTACTGCAAGTTCAAATCTCACCAGGCTCAAGGTTGACTCAGCCTTCCATCCTTCCGAGGTAGGTAAAATGAGGACCCAGATTGTGGGGGCAATAAGTTGACTTTGTATAAAAAAGAACACCGCTTAGGGGGGGCCGAAAGCCCTACTAAGCAGGTATATACAAAAGTATGAAGGCTATTGCTTAACGCATTGTAAGCCGCCCTGAGTCTCTGGAAAAGGGTGGCATATAAATCGAACCAATAAACTCCAATCCCAACCCACTCCAGGGGAAGGATACTGCAAAATCCCCATTCCCTCCCCACTCCTCGGGGAAGGTTATTGCAAAATCTCCATTCCCACCCCACTCTGGGGCCAGGTGGGAATGGAGGCCAGGTGGGAATGCCGGTTCTCCGAACTATTCAAAATTTCCGCTACCGGTTCTCCGGAACCTGCTGAAGTTCACCCCTGCTATGATGTAATTCTTCCCTTTTATTTTGAATGTAGAGGGATTCACGTTGCTTTGTGTCCTGAGCTTTTCATTTAGAATTTAGAATAACAGAGTTGGACGGGATCCTTGGAGGTCTTGTAGTCCAACCCCCTGCTTAGGCAGGAAACCCTACACCACTTCAGACAAATGGTTATCCGACAACTTCTTAAAAACTCCCAGTGTTGGAGCATTCGCAACTTCTGGAGGCAAGTTGTTCCTCTGATTAATGGTTCTAACTGTCAGGAAATTTCTCCTTAGTTCTAAGTTGATGACTGCATAAACATTTTAAATTAATAATCTAAATTAAATTAAATTGAAATGAAATGGAATTTAAATTACATGCCATCAAGTTATTGTTGACACCTAGCAATCGCAGAGATAGTTTTTCCCCAGGGATAATCTGTCCCTAATTTGTCCCTTCAGATCTTCCAGTGATGCCCCTGTCACCATTTTTTTTTTAAAATTTGATTTATATGCCGCCCTTCTCCGGAGACTCAGGGCGGCTTACAAGGCGTTAAGCAATAGCCTTCATTCTTTTGTATATTTATACGAAGTCAGCTTATTGTCCCCACAAACTGGGTCCTCATTTAACCTACCTTAGAAAGGATGGAAGGCTGAGTCAACCTTGAGCCTGGTAAGATTCGAACCTGCAGTAATTGCAGGCAGCTGTGTTAATAACAGGGTGCATTAAACCACTGTACTACCAAGGCTCCTTCCCTTCCCTTCCCTTCCCAACCCTAACCCTTCCCTTCCATCTTCTCTTCTCTTCCCTTCCATCTTCTCTTCTCTTCCCTTCTCTTCTCTTCTCTTCTCTTCTCTTCTCTTCTCTTCTCTTCTCTCTCTTCTCTTCTCTCTTCTCTTCTCTTCTCTTCTCTTCTCTTCTCTTCTCTTCTCTTCTCTTCTCTTCTCTTCTCTTCTCTTCTCTTCTCCTCTCCTCTTCCCTTCCCTTCCCTTCCCTTCTCTTCTCTCTACTCTATTCCCTCTTTTCTTCCCTTCCCTTCCCTTCCCTTCCCTTCCCTTCCCTTCCCAACCCTAACCCTAATCCTAACCCTAACCGTAACCCTTCCCTTCCCTTCCCTTCCCTTCCCTTCCCTTCCCTTCCCTTCTCTTCTCTTCTCTTCTCTCTCCTCTCGTCTCCTCCCCTCCTCTTCTCTTCCCCTTCTGAAATTGCATAGGTTCTCCTACTTGAGAAGGGGGCTGAACTAGAAGACCTCCAAGGTCCCTTCCATCTTCTCTTCTCTTCTCTTCTCTTCTCTTCTCTTCTCTTCTCTTCTCTCTTCTCTTCTCTTCTTTCTCTTCTCTTCTCTTCTCTTCTCTTCTCTTCTCTTCTCTTCTCTTTTCTCTCCTCTCCTCTCCTCTCCTCTCCTCCCCTCCTCTTCCCTTCCCCTTCTGAAAGAGCATAGGTTCTCCTGCTTGAGCAGGGGGCTGGACTAGAAGACCTCCAAGGTCCCTTCCATCTTCTCTACCCTTCCCTTCCCTGGGCTGACCTCCGAGGCAGCCAGCTGTGGAGGAAAGAGAGAGCTCGCGCGGAGGGGGTGGGCAGGCCCGCCTATCCTCCCCACGCGTGGAAATCTCGCTGGAGGAGAGGGAGGAGGAGGAGGAGGAGGGGGGGTGAATTTCTTTCCTTGTCATCGGACGCTCCCCAAACCCCGCTCCCGCATACCGCAGGGGAAAGCTCGAGCGGAGCCTCCGGCCGGGCTGAATCACTTTCGGCTTTCTCTCTCTCTCTCTCTCTCTCTCTTTCTCTCTCTCCCCCTCCCCAGTCCTCAAACACCCCCCCTCCCTCTCTCCAGCGCCGAGGGGAGGGGTCCCATCGGATTGGCTAATTGAGTGACACTTGTAGCCCGGGGTGGAGGGAAGGAGGGATGGAGGGAGGGAGGGAAGGCTGGAAAAAAAAAAAAAAAAAAAAAAAAAGAAAGGAAGGAAGAAAGAAAGAGTGGGGAGTTTTTAGCTGGCCGCGGATTGGCTGGCGGAGGAAAAAAAAAGGGGCTTCCGAAACTCCGGGAGGAAAGAAAAGTCTTCTTCTTTTTTTTCGGTTGCATCGGGATCCCGCCGGGCAGGGAGGCTGCAGGCTGGGCTGGGCTGCCCCCCGACCGAAGAGGGAACTTAAGAGGCGGCTTTGGACTCTCTTCTGTCGGTGGACGCTTTGGGTGGGGCTCCCCCGTTTGCTCCCATTGGGGTTCTTGAGCCCCCCCTTTTTTTATTTGCAGACCTCCCCAAGAAGAAGCCACAGGCGGGCAGAGCCTGGCCCCCCCCCCCCCGCTTCCTTTTGCATCTTCTCTCCCTTCTTCCAGCATGGGCATCCTCATCATCGCTTGTCTTCCCCCGCCAGGTTCCAGTTGGGATGCCCTAAGGATGCTCTGGGCAGCCTTAGGCTCCTTCTTTTTCTTCTTCTTCCTGCCCGGCTTGGCCGGAGCCAACGAATACGACTATGTCAGCTTCCAGTCGGACATCAGCTCCTACCAAAGCGGACGCTTCTACACCAAGCCCCCCCAATGCGTGGCCATCCCGGCTGACCTGCGCCTCTGCCACAGCGTGGGTTACGACAAGATGGTCTTGCCCAACCTGCTGGACCACGAGACCATGGCCGAGGTCAAGCAGCAAGCCAGCAGTTGGGTGCCCTTGCTCAACAAGAACTGTCATTTCGGCACCCAGCTCTTCCTTTGTTCCCTCTTTGCCCCCATCTGCTTGGACCGGCCCATCTATCCATGCCGTTGGCTCTGCGAGGCCGTGCGCGACTCCTGCGAGCCCGTCATGCAGTTCTTTGGATTCTACTGGCCCGAGATGCTCAAGTGCGACCAGTTCCCCCAGGATGATGTCTGCATCGCCATGACCGCCCCCAATGCTACCGAGGCCTCCAAGCCCCAAGGTAAGATTTAGTGGTTCCTCGCAGCCGTCTGTCTCACTTAATGGTCAACTCAAGAGATGGCCCTGCTTGGGAAGGCGAGGTGAGATGATAGCACCTGGTGGCCAACTTCGAGCGAGACCCAAGAAGGCCTTCTGAATGTTGAAGGAGAAGCCAGAATATCTTGATCCAGCTGGGTCTCCCCCATTGTAGAATGTTGTATTGTAGGCTAATTCTGCCAACTGCAGGAGTTCGATCTTGACTGGCTCAAGGTTGATTCAGCCTTCCGTCCTCCCGAGTTTGGTTAAATGAGGACCCAGATTGTTGGGGGCAATATGATGACTCTGTAAACCGCTTAGAGAGGGGATGTAAAGCACTGAGAAGCGGTATATAAGTCTAAGTGCTATTGCTATCTTCCTTCCTTCCTTCCTTCCTTCCTTCCTTCCTTCCTTCCTTCCTTCCTTCCTTCCTTCCTCCCTCCCTCCCTCCCTCTCTCCCTCCCTCCCTCCCTCCCTCTCAGTGGTTAGAGTGGTGCATTGCAGGCTAACTATGCCCCTTGCCAGGAGTTTGATCCTGACCGGCTCAAGGTTGACTCAGCCTTCCATCCTCCTGAGGTTGGTAAAATGAGGACCCAGATTGTTGGGGGACAATATGATGACTCTGTAAACAGCTTAGAGAGGGTTACAAAGCACTGTGATATATAAGTCTAAGGGCTGTTGCTATTTTCCTTCCTTCCTTCCTTCCTTCCTTCCTTCCTTCCTTCCTTCCTTCCTTCCTTCCTTCCTTCCTCCCCTCCCTCCCTCTGCCCACTGCCAGCAGTTCGATCCTGACTGACTCAAGGTTGACTCAGCCTTCCATCCTCCCGAGGTCGATAAAATGAGGACCCAGATTGTTGGGGACAATATGCTGACTCTGTAAACCACTTAGAGAGGGTTGTAAACCACTATGAAAGCGGTATATAAGTCTAAGCGTTATGGCTATTTCCACTTAAAGTTCTTTAGTAATGAATAGAACAGTGTTTCTCGACCTTGCAACTTTAAGACGTGTGGATTTCAACTCCCAGAATTCCCCAGCCGGCCTGTGCACGTGTTTTAAAAATTGCCAAGGCTGAGAAACATTGGAATAAGAACATTCTTCCAGAACTTCACCACTTTCTGATTATTTGGCCTTTAGTTCCCAGAACTGTCAGCAGTGGTTACACCAAGTTGGTCTACATCTCTGAAGCACATCAAAGTTGGAAGGGGGATGGAGAAGACTCTTCTGGATTGAGTAACCCAGTAGCCCACCCATTCTAAATTGAGTTCAGGTGTGTATGTTGAGGTTAAGAAGGGGAACAGCTAGAGCTGCATGATTAAGGACAGATTCTGCTTGTTTGAGGATTTCAGCATCGGTCCTGGACGTCTGCAAGGCAAACAGAATTTCTGCTCAAGACTCCAGAAAGCTGATGATGTCAATACTATTTGTAATTATGGCAGACATTGCTTAATAGTAACAGGATTAATTTATTTGACTTGGCAGCTTCCTGAGAATTCTGCTGAACGAGGTTCAGGCAGTTCTGTTCCCCCAAAGCAGGCGGGAGGGGGAGAAAAGAGCTTTGAAGAAACCATTTCCCATTTCTGTACAAGTGTCTGTGTAGCGATTGAGTAATTTTGGAATCTTAGTAGCTCTCGGGGACGTCTGCAAACATTCCTCTTCTCCTTGGCTCCGTTGCCGTTTTGTGCGTTGCAGCTTCTCCTTGTGTTCTCAGAATGCGAGAGCAAAACAAAACAAAAACGAAATAACAACCACCAGCAACCGATTGTGTGGCCCTTATTTATTAAAGACAAGATTTTTTTTGCTCTCTATGCCCAACCGCTCCAGCCATAGACAAGGATTTAGTTCTGGGCTAGTCTGCTAATCAACCCATTGGCTGTAATACTCAACCTTGGGCTAACAAAGCATAATTGCTTTGTTTATAATGCCTCTGTGCCCCCAGACAAATCAATCCTATTTAGCATCATGTGATGACCTGGCTTATACTACATGCTGAAATCCATGGCTGGCTTCTCACAGGATGCTGAACCAGAAATGACCCTGATCCTTTGGAGCCTAGATGCTGGCAAACTCAGCATGATTTGTGCATCTGATTATAGTATATCTTTGCCCTTCCCGAGTGGTAGACTAGAAGGAGAAATCCTGATTGGCTTAAAGTTGCCTCTCTGGGGTGAAAGAAGATTTAAGCTTCAGCCTCTCAATTCTGATAAGCGCTATTTTTTTGTTGTCGTTGCAGAAAAAAGAATTTATTTCAAAGATAAGGACAATAACGCAAGCCCCTGTTGCTGGTTTCCTTCTAACTCTACTGTATTATTAATGGGTAAAGAAAAAAATGAAAAAAATTGGAGGGAGGTGGTGGCTCAGGGGCTAAGACACTGAGCTTGTCAATCGAAAGGTCGGCAGTTCAGCGGTTCGAATCCCTAGCACTGTGTAATGGGGTGAGTTCCCGTGACTTGTCCCAGCTTCTACCAACCTAGCAGTTCGAAAGCACGTAAAAAAATGCAAGTAGAAAAATAGGGATCACCTTTGGTGGGAAGGTAACAGCGTTCCGTGCGCCTTTGGCATTGAGTCATGCCGGCCACATGACCACGGAGACGTCTTCGGACAGCACTGGCTCTTCGGCTTTGAAACGGAGATGAGCACCGCCCCCTAGAGTCGGGAACGACTAGCACATATATGCGAGGGGAACCTTTACCTTTTTAAAGAAAAAAATCCCTACTGAGTATTTCAAACTTGAGTTCCCAGCTCTATGCTCTTGCCAGTCCAGGTGAGGATATTTTTCGGGATGCTAATTTAGGCTTTCTCCTAAATTATAAGTCCTGGGCCTTATCCCTGAAGGCAGTCCCTAAGACCAACTGCTTTCGCAGCTGGAGGTTTTATTTGGCTTTTAGGATGAGCAGCTGCTGTTGAGAAAACACCTTCAGTGTTACAATGGTTGTAAGTTCAAGGACCGATGGCGAGTCACTTTTTTCAGGGCTGCTGTAATTGGAACTGTTGCTAAACAAGTGATTGTAAGATGAGGACTACCTGAATGCTCTTGTAGCAGAAGAGATGACCATTATATGTGTGTCTGTGTGGGGAAACAGCTTTTCCACCCTGACACTCTCCAAACAGGAAGGACTTCAATTCCCATAATTCCCTATTAGCATAGACTGAGACTGTCTTCTTCTTCTTCTTCTTCTTCTTCTTCTTCTTCTTCTTCTTCTTCTTCTTCTTCTTCTTCTTCTTCTTCTTCTTCTCTTCTCCTTCTCCTTCTCCTTCTCCTTCTCCTTCTCCTTCTCCTTCTCCTTCTTCTCCTTCTCCTTCTCCTTCTCCTTCTTCTACTCCTTCTCCTTCTCCTTCTCCTTCTCCTTCCCTATCCATCATCGGATGTTGGCGATCATGTTGGCAATCCTATTTTCATCAACAGCTGCACGAAAAAGCACTGCTGAGTTTTGTCCAAACCAGTCCCTTAGATTTTGAAGCCATGATGTTCTTCTTCTGCCTGGACCTCGTTTGCCATCAATCTTTCCCCGGAGGATTAAATGAAGTATGCTTTATTTTTCCAGGTGTTGCATCACATGTCCTAAATATTCTAACTTTCGCTTCTTGATGGTATTGATGATTTCCCTTGGCTTTCCCAGGTGGCTTATCACCTCCTCATTTCTGATTCTGTCGACCCAACTTATACTTAACAGCCGGCTGTAAATAAACATTTCAAACGCTTCTAGTTTCTTCAAGTGGTTTTCTGTCAGAGGCCAACTCTTCACTCCATAGAGCAGGATGGAAAAGACGTGGCATCTGACAAGTTTGAGTTTCAGTTTTAGGCTTATGTCATGACTTATGTCATTTTGAAGAACGCTGTTTGAGCTTTCGCTATCCTTGTCTTTACTTCAGAATAGAATAGAATAGAATTTTTATTGGCCAAGTGTTATTGGACACACAAGGAATTTGTCTTTGGTGCATATGCTCTCAGTGTACATAAAAGAAAAGATACGTTCATCAAGAATCATAAGGTACAACACTTAATGATAGTCATAGGGAACAAATGATGCAATTCAGGGGTTCTATCCCAGCTTTCATGTAAATTAGAACTGAGGTACGTAATCCTTTCGACTTTTTCTAGTGTCATTCCTTCCGAATTTATCGGTGGTAATTTTTTTTTTTTAATGTGATTTATATGCCGCCCTTCTCCGGAGACTCAGGGAGGCTTACAGTGCATTAAGCAATAGCCTTCATACTTTTGTATATTTATACAAAGTCAGCTTATTGCCCCCACAAACTGGGTCCTCAATTTACCTACCTTAGAAAGGATGGAAGGCTGAGTCAACCTTGAGCCTGGCGAGATTCGATCTTACTTTAATTGCAGACAGCTGGTGTTAAATTACAGAGCTCTGTCTGTTGAGCTATCCAGGCTCCATGGATATCCAACCCAAATTAATGGGTTGTTTGCCGACGACCATGATCTGGGTTTTTGAGGTGTTAAGCTTCAAGCCATATTTTTCAGATATTTCTGTGACTCTGTGGACGAGGAGTTGAAGATGGAGGCCAGGACAACCCTTATGCAAATTTCCTTGAACCTGGGATTTTGACTCCTCAATTTTACACGCAACTTTTAAAAAAAAAAAAAAATCAGCGTGTTAGGGTGTGTATAAAAAGTATTTGTTGCTTGTGCAACGAGCAGAGCAGAAACACACAGGGAAGGAGATAAACGTGTGAGAAAAATACTTTATATACAAGATAATAAGCAGTCTCGGTATAGGTAAAACAGTCCAAGGTCATAAACAGTAATATCAGTCCAGTAAGTATCTTCCCTTACCAAAGCAAACAGACTTTAGTAACTCTTGGTATACAGTACCATATAACAATTCAGTCTAACACCAATCAGCAGAAAGACGCAGGAAGCAACAGGAACAATCAGGAACAAAGAACGCTTCTCTGCGCTGCTTATTTATGCACTGTAGCCTAATTACAGGGTTCAGCAAACCCTGATTACGTGGCTCAGTTGTTTC